ATAGGTGAATAGGAAAAATAGAGAGAGAGAGAGAGAGAGAGAGAGAGAGAGAGATAGAGAGAGATAGATAGAGAGAGAAAGAGAGAGAGAGAGAGAGAGAGATAGATAGATAGATAGATAGATAGATAGATACCAAACAGGGGACCCCAACGAGCAAGCCCAAACCACCGTCACCGACACAGCTCGGGGACGATAAGCGCAGAGCTCCAGCACAGAGTGGGGTTCGGCACAAACAAAGCGGACTAGGCGGGGACTCCATGCATTCGATGGCATGTGTAGAGTATCGTAGTTTGCGAATGTGCCTAACCGCTTGTGCCGACCCACAACTTGTCTCACTTCAACAGACAACTGGGACAGTGGCGTAGCGCGAGTGCGCAGGGGTTCAGGGGGTTACCCTTGGCCCCAAACGCCTTGCAAGCAAGCAAGCAAGCAAGATAGATAGATAGATAGATAGATAGATAAAGACAGGGGGCCTTGGTGACTGGTCCCGACGTCCAGAGGAACAAGAAATCCGGAGGCGTAGCCATCTTGGCTCAAACCATTTTGGCTCAAGCAGCTTTCCGCAGCGTGCCACAGGCTTGCCATGGCGGGGCAGGACACCTGGAACCTTTGATATTCGAACACGGTCGCTTCTTCCGTGGCGAGCTGGGGTGGTCTTATGCGCCTTTCTCTGTGGACGAGCCTGGCGTTGGACCACGCCGCGCAAGAAGAAGCACGTGCGGGTTGTGTGGAAGCGACTCCTTCAGCTGGACTCCAGCATTGAGGGCTGCGCTGCAGCGGCCGGAGGAAGACTGACGCGCGAAAGCCATTGAGAACACCCCGATACACTACGTCCATCAGGGGGGCGAGGTGACTGCAAGAGCTTCCACCGCCGCACTTTGCCAAAAAGCCGCATCCTGATGTGGACGACGAGCCCTACATTGGAATGGGGAAACTACGGCCAGGAATAACTCATCACGAAGATGCTGGAACACTAAGAACTTGCCCAAGATGCACTTTGAAAAACTGGCAGCTTGTAGTGCCCGCATTTCATATGGGGGGGGGGCCTGGAGCGGCAGGATCGCACTCCTCTTAAGCCTTGCAAAAGAAAGACAGCGGTAACGTGTGCCGTTTCAGCTACACTCCGCGACTGAACGAATCTGGGTCGGCAGAGGAACCGCTTCTCGTACGCCATCAACCTGAAGGGCCCCAGCTTCATTGTGAATACGGCCTGCCTCCCGGCGGCAATGCCGCTTATTTTCCACTGACGCACTTCTTCAGTGCTTTCTGGGGGCGGCTTTGCTTTCTGAGCGTGCAGGTTCAGCCTCCCTGGTCGCTCTGCATTCGGCCAAGACGCACCTCCTGATGCCCCAGGAGAAACGAGCGTCGCTGCAGATGGCCTCGCATTGCACGCACCACCCCCTTGTTGCCTGACTCAGGACCCGTTGGATGCCTGCCTCATCGCTGGCATAAGTGGCTTAGCTGAATGCAGTGCACGGCAAGATGCTAGCAAGATCTTGCGACCTCTTCAGGCCTCAACGTCTCCCCAGGCACTTGGGCTGGGAACTGTGCAGGCAGGTTCACCCACGATCCATGCGTGTGAAGTATCGTCTCAAAAAGAAAAGGGGCTTGTGTCGAGTGCTGCCAGGTGCCATGCTTTCCTTCCGTGGTCGGTGCTTCTCCTTCAACAACACAGCGGACTGGGTCTAACGTTCCTGAAGGCTCGTGTGCCTGGTATGTGAGCCTGGGGGACAGGACGGCTATGGACGTGGCGAAGGCTGTGCCGCTGCAGTGCTGGGCCGTGGCGAGTCCCGCAACAGCACATCAGCGAACGGGTATGACAGGGCCGTAGAATCCTTGCCTTCAGCATGCCGATCGTGCGAGAGAATGGTTGGCCAGCGCTGAACAACGGAATTGAATCACTCCCAGCCACAGCGACTCACGGCTAAGGTACGACCAAGATGACGATACAACTTGTGGAACGTTGGCCGCCAGAATCTTGCCTGGCAACAGCAGCTGGCAAACCGAGGACAGAAGTAAGCTGACATAGAGCTTAGACGAAAAACAGACGCCTCGATTCGTTGGGGCGGCAGTTCCAAGCTTCTAAGCCTGGCCCCCCCGGAGTTCGATTCCGGTTTGGTTTGAGCCAGCTCTTGAGGCCACAGCAACTCGGATGGTCGCTCCGCCAGCCTCACGGCCCCGAACGGCCCAGCACAGCAGTGCCCGAGCAGAATGTGAGACGGGATGGGGAGTCGCACCCGGGTCCCTCTGACATATTCCGCGGCTTGTATCTTCATCTCGTCTGAGGCGCTTGCTGCGAGCAGCTCTTACTGAGGCCACTGCCAAGCTTCATGTGAGTGTCGTTCCGCAGTGTGCTGGGAGAAGGGGAGGTTTTTGTTTTATCAGTTCACGCTTGCGGCCGCTTGCGTCCATCCTTTCAATGGTGATCAAACCGTGGCAAGTGAGCAGAGTTTGTCCGGCCAGGCGCGTCTTCAACCGACAGATCTGGACATCTACGAAGCTCATGGTACAGGGACTTCTCTCGGAGACCCTATCGAGGTGAGGCCTTTGCGATTCCGAGCCGTGTGAGCAGACCATTGTACCTGCTCCGGCTGCGCAGGTGAGCGCTGTCCGCAAGGCGGGGGGGCCTTAGCCAAAGCTCTCAATTCCAGGTAGCCTAGCAGCCTAGCATCATACGAGCTCGGATGAGGAGACTGGCCCACTGGCCGGCTCGTGATGGGATCGGGTCTGCAGCCAATCTGCCAAGCCCCAGCCTGGCAGGTTCTGACGCAGAGGGAGAATCCTGTCCTCGGCTTAGGAGGGAGGCAGACCTTGCGAGTAACCTTGGCAGTGTGCCAAAGTTGCGGGACTCAGGTGATGATCTCCTGCTCGAAGACTAACCTGGGACATTTGGAGGGCGGTGCAGGGATGTCTGCCTTCTGCAAGCTGCTGGGCTTCACAA